CAAAAAGGTAAAATTAGCAGTCCTTCACAATGCATGAATAGAAGTATGTATGTCGCTCATATTCAACACCGAAGAACTGGATTTTAATTCGTATAAAAATACAAAAAGCAACAACCTCTTCACGGGGATGATATAATCCCCATCATTTATTTTCCGTTCTGAATGGTTGAACTCAAATAGAAATTAATTAATTTCTGCACGCTATGTGTAAGGGATATGTAGTATATATGAACAGTGTCGAGAAGAATGAGTTTGTGGAACTTGTGGGAGAGCACACTAAGAACTTTTTTCTCTTCACTAGTTGCGATGTCTTTTTTTTAAATCTTTCCCTTTTTTATTCTATTCTACATCTATTTTATCTGAATGTTCATTCTTCGCTTTGTATTCATCCATTAAATAGCAGTTATTATTATTATTTTTTTTCTGAACGAGTAAGAGGCGTACTTCGGAAATACTTTGTTCCAATCGATCGTCTACAATGGACATATATCTTGAAATTCACATTTGCTCTCACTTTGTACTGAGAGGGAAATATAGGCAGATTTGAATTCTTCACCCCCCCCCCCCTTTTTTTTTTTTAATTTAGGGACACCCAGTGAAAAAACAATGAAGGCATACTAGAATGAATGCTGCTCAGTGAGCTAGATCGAAAGAAGGATTGGGAACAAAAAATCGCGTTCAAATGCCGAACTTCTATTGAAAGCGGCGGTCTCCGTTGATACAGGTACTTGCTCTGCTCCTGAATTCTGCTCACAATCCGCGAAGCATTGTCTCATTGCGCCCTCTGTCAGACCAGCCTGTTCTGTGGCATAAGGTTATAAACAGTAGCTGGTGCAGTGAAAAGGCGATGAACTGGTTATTTGTTAATTTGAAAGGTAAGAAAAGGAAACCCTTTTAACATCCAGTCTCGGTGAGATATCAATGTGCGTGACAATACCATGTATACGTTCCGTTACTACTTAGCGTTTATCGACCTTAATGGATCACTATGCGATTGTGGTTAGCGCAACATTGACAGCAAATCAATCAAATAAAATTCTGGAAACCAGTTCAGACTAGTAACTGGATTAAAATAAGCTAGTATTCAGGGGCGTTTCCAAGATTATTTGAAGGGCGGGGGAGGGGGGGGGGAGTCCGAAGATGTGAAACCCCCCCTCGGTTGGCCTAGGTTCAGGGCCCGCTGAAGGGCCCAGAAATTTTTGGGTATTTTAGAAGGCAAACGATGCCATTTGGTGCGGTTTAGTACTATAAATCAGCTAGTCAAAATTCAGGACCCCCCTGACCCCCCCCCCCCTCTAAACTCGGCACTGAGTATTGAACACAAATTTAAAGAATAAAAAAAACTTGATTCGAATCCTTCTATCTTTTAGCGTGTTTAGGTCACTGCTCAGATGAGCTCCCGCCTTTGAAGTTGCTCCATGCTCCAGTACGTGGAACGCTGTCAGGTGTTTATGTCACAGGTACATGTGGTGGCATAATATTCCACTTCTGTTACAGATTCGTGATGTTGTTATACGTTACTCCAGAATTGTTTTGAAACGTCAGCTTTAAGTTTGCGTAACTAATTATATACTAGTTACAACATGAGTCGTTCACTGCGCCTCGATATAATTATCTCGCATAAAGAGGACGATTTGAGCTGTAACATATGACTGTATATAAGCAAATGCAAAAGGAAACATTTTTCCGTTCACAAGCATATTTATGACATAAAAGAGAAACAAATTTTTCGTTGAAGCAGAATGAAGACGCAGAGAGACAAGCAGTTTTCTTTAATTATTATTATTGGAAAATAAAAGGGGCTACAGAGAGTACACAAAAATAGAGTCGACTTTATAACCTGTTTAGTTACCTGCCGAATCACCTTCTTTGCGGAATGAGGCTATAGATGTTTATATAGTCTCTAACCAACATAGCAACAGCGCGTTTGACACATATAGTTCAGTTCTGTGTTGATATAAAAATATACCAACACAACACCTGTACATCCACACCGGATGCATGCCTATCACTGTCGCAATGCCCAGTATCGAATGCGACAGGTGCGCCAGCACAAAGATTGCACAGCACAATCCAATATGCAGGTTTGCTGGTATGGAGATAATGCGTGTTCTCTGGTCCGTTGAACCGATGATTTTGCTAACAAATGGTAGGCAGAGGGTTGAACAAATGCTATTTTTTCTTTTTTTTAGTTTGGCTTTTTATTAAATTATAATATACTACTTAAATGAGCTTATTGGTGATACTAATTCTATGAGGAGAGCAAAATGTGATCGATGTTACAGAAATGCATTTAATCAATGTTACTTAGTCGAAAACGGTCGAAAATGATGCCACAAGCAAGATTGCTACCTGCAGTATAGCGCAAGGCACACAAACTGCCTTCATAATTAATTTATTTATTAGATTTCATGGAGGGGTGGATGGATGAATCTTTGAATGAATCAGTGCATTCAGGACTAAGGCTAGGGTGGAAGCGAGGGAAGGAGGGAGGAAAAAGGGAAGAAGAAAGGACGATCAAGAAAAATAATGGACCGAAAAATAAACATCTGGGCCCAGTTTCATCAACACTGGAGAGAACTATCCTATGGATAACACTAGATAAAATTGTTATCCTATGGACAGTTTCCTGTGGGTAAAATATTTTTTTCTATACACTAGATATTTATTTTAGTTTCTAAAATTGCTTTCCAGTGGATAAAAATGGCTGCCATTTCAGGATAACTGTTGAAAAGAAACAGTTTTATCCAATGGATAGTATTATCCACAGTTTAGTGCTATCTATTGTTGATGGAACTGGACCCTGCTTTCGTTTACTTCATCACTCAATTTTGACACAATTTTGGACCATCTGAGGTTAATATTTGTTTCCTCTGTAGTGTAAGTTAACTCAGTAATAAAGGACCTCTCTTACTCTTATGTATATATAATGATTGTGTTATCTATTAATAACTGCCGCTCCAGGCACCTGTTCACGACAGGACAATCAAACAATAATTAATGTGCTATTGTTCTTACTGAGCATTCAGGTGATCACGATTTTCGGTCGTCCTTTCGGTCTGACTTCGTGAGGTGAAAACGAAACTCGAGGAAGGGTCCACGACGCGGTGATCTTATACATGATGTGTGACTGTAAAACGACACATAACTATAATCAGATTATACTTTTTTCTTCTTTTTAATTTAGAATTTATCCACATGAGTATTTTTGGATTTATCCACATGATATTGAAAATGGGAGATAAGCTAGGGATAATCTTGGCTTTTGTTTTTTTGCATTAAATAGGTGTTTCATAAGGTATGACTTTCCTATGACATCCAAAGAAGAACTATCTTCCAGTGCTCAAGTGTTTAGAAAATGGAAATACTGTTTATACATTATTATAACTTTTTTACTATTTATTTATTTATTTTATTTATTTATTTTTATTTATTTATTTATTTTTTATTTATTATTATTATTATTATTATTATTATTATTTATTTATTATTATTTTTTTTTTTTTTGCATTCAACTAGGTACTAGTAAAATACATTAGAGGTTTCGACATTAGTAGAGAAAAGTGCGCTTTTATCTTTTACTATTTTGTCATCCACCTGCGCCCCCCCCCCCCCCACACACACACACACACACACACATATACACCTGCAGTCTCACACAATAATACACTAGTAAAAGCTCCGTCAGGCTATTCTTACAAAGTTGAACAAAAGCCAAGATATATTATCAATCTTAATAATTAATAAAGGCGTGAGGACAAGATCACAGTATGGGAATATCCCGGTATCCCCCGTGACCTAATCCGTTTACTGGGTGAAACAATGCCTCAGGTTTCCTCGCTTCCCGGTTACAATCGATTGGCCTCAGGCTTGGAGGTTGAAAACGGAAGGTAAGCCCGAGGACCCGTTAGGCAGCAAATAAACAAAGCCCGACATTTTCCAATAACAATAAACAATAAAATGACATCAGAAATTTGGAATTTGCTTCCTCCAAATCCTTCCTCTCATATATTTTCTTCCTCGATTTGGTTGAACAAAACAAAATAAGAAATATACATCTATTACATCTATGGACGTGGGAAGAACTTTCAAAACTGATGCGAGGAAGAGGACCCTTTAAACGCATCCATTTCGAAGTAAAATCTACACAAATCAAGTTGTGGAGCACACTGAAATGCCACAAAATATTTTTCCTACTTATAATGTTCAGTCAATGAACCGAATCAACAAGTACCCTCAGCTGGGTTACTGAGGATAACATCCAGCGGTAGCTGCTCCAGGTAAAACCTCAAAGGAATTGTTTAACAACGGCGACTAATTTACCTTACTTAGTGTACCTAAACAATATTTGTTTGCTCTTCACTAAGACACGTAAACCATTGTCTGCGTTCAGGGTAAGGAGCGGACATACAGCGGACAAGCGAGGACGCTCGAATAAACACATCAAGTAAATAAATGAATAGTGTGACCTTATTCGCGTGCACTGCCCCCCCACCCCTTTCTACAAATATATATGTAGCATATTAATCAAGAAATGCAGTATCTAAGTAAATTTTCTTCAAGAAAGGCGTTTTCGTTTCGTGGTTTACAGAATAGGCAAGTTGTGGGTCACCACCACCGACCGGGGCCCACTTGCGTGGGTTGCTTTATTGAAAATTACGGTGACTCAGCATCACATGAAACTCGGTTAAAATTGGCATCATCTCTAAGGAACGTTCATTTCTTAGAGTGATACAGCTTCATCTTAGCAGCAAAATATACCACAGTTCTTTCAATGTTTTGTGCAACTTTCTCGCACGGGAGAATTATCTTGTTGGTTGTAGACCTAAATTTGGCCATGACATACACGTGGAAACGTCAAAAACGTCCCTCCTCTTTGTTTACTTATTATTCTTGCCACCTGTCAATCAAAGCCATATTCTTGAATGCCATTGGTCGTTGCTGACTATGTTGTAATCTGATTGGTTGAGTAGCATGTGATCAACTAGAGGTCACGGACAGATTACAACAGGTTTGGACTTTGGACTTTTTAAGCAGCGTGCCTTTGAGTACCGGTCAAATTCGTAAAATTTACGTGAACAAGAAAACGTCCATGTACGAGCAAGTGGAAACTCTTCAGAAATGTTGTGTGTGGTTACCCAGCCCGACAACGCCGTGATCGAACTGGAGCTAGACCCCAAGGCTGAAGGTCTACATTGCATGGAGAAAGTGAGTTACCCGGCGTAAATATGACAGTAACAGAATAATATAACGGCTAGGATTTCATTTATCCTGCAAAATGAAGGGCAGCTTCTGCAATATCTGACCGTTGGGTAACAATCAAGTTGAAAGCATTGTAACAGTATGCTTTAAATCTGTAGATACTGCCCAGATATGAAGTTTTTAATCAGCTTTGTAAATTGCGGTCTATCAGCTGTGCGAACAGCTGATTATCCAAACAAAGAATTGAATGGCCGACATTTTTCAGACATTGACTTGCTCAAACCTGCTCTAGCTCTGTAGCCACGAGTTGGTGGTTGTTGAAAGACCCCACTAGTCTATGAATGAGTGGTTTTTGGTTAATTGTCAGTGATCACGGTGTTATTGTGCAAGATTTGTCAGATAATTTATCAAAATGAATCGAGACTGTTATCGTTTAATGCAATGTGTAATGTAACTTCGTGCTCTGAATATGTATGATTTCCACTAGCTGTTCTTCGAAAATTCGATCAAGGGTTCCATGGACACTCTTTTTTTCGTTATTTATTCATTTATTATTATTATCATTATTTTGTTATGACCAGATTATTCTGTTCTCCATATTTTATTTGTATGGAAGTCTGTATTGGCAAGGACCAGTAAGTTGGGGGGGGGGGGGTGGGGGGTGGGGGGGCTGAACTCCAAGTTTTCTTGTTGTTACTTTTATAAGTAATATGCATGTGTAGGGTTTTTGTTGAAAATACCTGACTTGACCAGGGATTGAACCCCAGACGCTCTCTCATCATGCAAGTGCTCTAAGCCTGAGTCTACTACATACCCCAGCCAACCACTACATTTGGACATGGCAACAAGTTAATAAAATATAGTTATACTCTTCAACTGTTGTAATAAATCTCTTTATCAGATTAAAAAAAAAAAACATTACAAAACACTGATGCAGAATAGTTATGCACACTACATACTTGCATATAGTAAAAGAAGCTGCACACTTTCATTATGACTCAAATATAAAATTTATGTAGGTGGTACTGGGAGATTTATTTATGTTGTAATAGTAATGGAGGCTTGCATAGTAAAAGAAGCTGTAAGCTTTATGACTCTAAAAATTCATTTTTTATTGGTGACACTGGGAGATTTATTTATTTTTTGTTTGTTTTTCTTATTTAAGTTCCATCATAAAAACCACCAGATGCTCAGTCATATCCTGCTGATTACTGGGGTGTTTTTGTGAGTGGGTGGTTAATGGCCAAAAATGAAATCTTTAGAAAATCTTGACATAAATGTAATATATTCACATTCTACATGATAGAAATTGAGTCAGAAGACTCCAAAGTAAAAATAATGACAAATAAAAAATAAAAATGACCAGCAAATTATGATTTGTATTAAGGCAGTGTTATCAGCTACTGGTAGGTTGATTGGTAAAAAGCTGAGGCTACTAATGTTCAGCAGCTCTTCAAGATTTGTTCTGGTTAGGAATTTGAGTTTCGGGATAACAGGCACTTGGCAATTTACTAAGTAAACATATAGTTGTCATATTTTGTTAAAAAGACAAGGTAAAATAGTTTATTGAGAACTACTTTAAGTGAAAGAAGTACCTGACATTGGTCGAAATCCTTCCAAACCTGTCCACACCAATACCATGGTATTGGCCTGCCGATGCATGATATTTAAAGTTGTCAGATTTTATTTTGTGTGCTTACTTATTCCTTCCTTATATTCAGGTATGCCAACATATAGGCATCATTGAAGAAGACTACTTCGGTTTGCAATATAAGGGAACAAAGGGAGAACAACTTTGGCTGAACACGAGAAACAGAATTACGCGGCAAGTGCCAGGACCTCCACCATACAGATTTAGGCTGCGAGTCAAGTTTTTTGTACAGCCTCATTTAATCTTACAAGAAGAAACAAGGTGAGCCGTTTTTTTCTCGTCATCTTTGTACTAATAGTATTTTGTTTTTCTTACGTCGCAGTAGTTTTGAATATGAGAGGCAGCCCTCTAACATGCATGCACATTTCTTGTAAGCAAAAAAAACACCACAAAGCATTACAATGGCATGAAAAAAGCCACCTCATGTTATCTGACATGTGAAGCTACGCAAGAGAGAGGAATTTTAAAACGAAAGTTGGCACTTTGTTCACAGATAATTGATTTGTGTGAGCTTTTTGCAGTAGGATTTCACAGGATTAGGCACCACAAGGATACCTTTCAGTGATTTGATCAATGTATTTGTTCCTCACACACTTCCAGTGAAGAGATTCATGAACTGATAACAGTATATACCCATTGAAAATCACCCATTGTTCTCTGAGTGTCTGAGGTATCTCATTCAAACTGCTTTTTGAAGAATTCCACAACAAATTAAAGAGCCAAAGCTAAATTGTTATATTTACTGCCAACTTAAAAAAGTTCCAGGATAAGAATTGTTAGTCTTTTTTTATAGGAAATGAACAGTTATATAAAAATAGTTTTATTATAAAATTACAAAAACGTAATGATAGCAAAGAAAACCCACACATGCAAAAAGATCATTTGTTTTCCATTTCTTCATGTTACTCGTAAGCAGTATTTTAGATATTGCCCTATTATAATATAAGTATCTCTTATCATTCAATATTTTCACCTTGTTTGGGTTTTGATTAGTACCTCAAGCATGCTAAGTAATCCAAGGACAAAAGGAAACTATGGCAATGCATATTTAATTCATGTAAAACTGCTGCTTCAAGTAAACTAAACTTGATATGGTTTTGTGCAGAAGTACTTCCAGTACTGCAGTACCTGGATAAAGTAGTAGGATTAAGTATGGCGCTGTGTGGATGATTTCTGACAACTTCAAAGTATAACTACATTCATTACTTGCCCTGAGATGAATCCCATTTATTCAAAAGAAACATAGACTTAATGCCATCTCAGCTGGTTTCTCTACCCTAGAGCAGAGAATACATGAAAATGTCCCAAGATTTAAGATGCCTTGGTCTTACTTATTGAGGAAAGAACTTAAATAAAGCTAAGAAATCTGGGTTCAAAACTGCTGTTTTGATTAAATCCAAGAACTTCAAGTTAATCTCATCTCAGGGATGAAGGACTTCCTACTGCTTCTTTCCTTCTTTTCTTTTCTTTTCTTGGGGAAAGTTCAAATCACTTTTGGTTACTTGCTAGTAAATTGCTTACTTGGATGCAAAATAATGAAATCTTATAACAACAGATATAAGACCAATTTGAAGGTTTATGACAGGGCTGTGTTATTTATAAGTGCAGAACTGATGAGAAAAACCTTTCAGTGTTGCTGTAAACAAAAACAGGCCGGTGCTGTGGCAAATATATATATATATATATATATATATATATATATATATATAATCATCATTATCCTCCTCAAAGCTTTCTCTTCTCAATATTGATATATACCATGATACATTTGGGCCACTGAAGGCTTTCTTTAAGTTGAAGTTAAATTGATAAAATGATTTAGCCACCTTCTTATGGAAAAAAAGGCCAAATTTTAGGCAGAGGACTCCCAGTTCCTAGAAGTCCACAAGTTAATCAATGAAAATGCTCATGCAAATCAGCAACCGAGTGTGCTTTGGCAAAGACCAAGTCCCTATTTCAGATAAAGCATCTGACAATAATGTAGATAGACAATGAAACTGCTAACTTCATGAGTGTGATTTTACCTGAATGTGCATTTAAATGCTCCACTCCAAGGGTCTTATCTTTATGCATTTGATGATTTCTTAACAATGTTCAATCAAGTCTTTGAATGAGGTCAGAACAGGTTGAGTGTTTTTTTTTTTTTTTTTTTTTTTTTTTTTTTTTGGCATACAAAGGAAGTTCCTACTTGATTGGAAAGATTCAGTAAATTTCCCCTGTAGTCATTTTGCGCAACTCTTCCTTAATTCACAGGACTTAAAAGAATAACAAAATTTTGGCCAAAAAGAAGGAATTTCCTGGGGAAATCTGTTCTGACATTCAAAGTTAGTTTTTTTTTTCCAATAATAATAATAAAAATCTCTTAAGAGATTATTATTGAGGGTAGCCATCTGTGGAGGTAGGCAATGTTGCTGGTGGCAAGCACAGTTTCCCAAAATAATTGCAACGACGGCCGTTTTTGTGGTAAAATAGAATTTATTATATTTCTATAAGGTGTTTACAATGTATTTATTGTGAAATATGGATGTCATACAAATAGTTGTTATCCTTTTTATGTATGAGGGCTTTATCTTCAGTCTGTAGGTTCAAGGAAGTAAGCTTAAAATACACTGAGTTAATCAATGTCTATTTACTGGCATATATTCATGTAAATTATGTATTTGTATTGTATTCTGTGTGGTTGTGGTCACGTTCCTTTTCATGTGACTCCAGTTTGAAGCAGTGTGCACTATATTACCCTGTTTTTATCAAGTATACAGATTGATACACTCGTGTTAGCACCTTTGCCTGCTGTTCAACAATCACTGATACTGGACTACCTCATCCTTTCACTCAACCTCAGTTTTCATCACAAAAATGATATATTATTTCCACTGGAAATTGGTGTAATGATCTCTTGTCATGACAGAAGCACAGGTATCAGTTTGCTTAATTTGTCTGTGTTGGACTGTGTTGTCCACTTTCAATACCAGGAAAGGTTATCAAAATAGTTCAATATATGGATTATGATTATCTGTTCATGTCATTCTGATCTAGTTCCCGAGGTAGAGGTGTATCATATAACAACTTCGGCTTATAAAGCCCTGGACTCTATTGATTTTTTCTGTTTTTGATGCCATGTGCTTTGTTTTTGTCATGACTGAAATTTTGGTGTGAAAATTAAGACCAGTTTTGGGGGTAAATTTATTTTATGAAAGGGGGGGAGGCTACCATTTTGAGTTACCCAAACTTGTACAGAATGCTTGGTCTGATGATTGCAAGTAATAAGAGAAACGTTGCTATATTTCAGCTGCGTTGTGATACATTTCTGCAGGCAATTATCAGATTTCAATGTATACCATTAATAAAGGTCAAGGCATGACCACAAATAAAATCATGTGATCACATTTGGTTGTTTTCACTTGCACGGAATTATGGAATGTGAGCGAATGTGGGGTGACTTAAGTGCAAGTCTGATAATAACTGTCTTGTAGGTGTAAACCCAGTACAGATTAGATCAGATGATTGTTTTCACAAGAAGTCACACATGTGGTTTACTCACTGTCCTTGCTGTACCTATCCTGTGGATCAGAAAATATATATATATATATATATATATATATATATATATATATATATATATATATATATATATATATATATATAAAATTCATCCTCTAAGTGAGAAAACACACATGCATCAATGGAAATATGTGAAGTTTTTCTTTTATAGTGTGTGAACAAGTGTTAGTATAAATTTATGTTATGGTATCACATACATAGATATGATAATGATCTCGTCTAGGTTGATTGAATGTTTTGTTTTAAATGTGACAATTGATATACAGTACTTGTAGTTTGATATGATATAAATTTGAGATTTATAATTGTCATTCTCTGTTTTAAGAGTGAGATTGTGAAGATAAGTAACATAAGAGTCAGTGAAGTGTTTTCCAGCATATTTTTCCTGAAACAGGGAAATTAAAACTTTGGTTTAAAAAAATTGATATGAAAAAAATAAAGATCATTGGTTTTGCTTGAGGCTTTTGAAAGAATAATAAAAAAATTACTACATTTAAGATTTGGAAAGCTGGGATCTGTCTTACTGTAAATTACTGGTGCGAGTCAAGAAGTGTTATAGTTCAAGGTCATGGGTCACACATATTGATTTCTCAGCCAAATAGTACTTGATGACATTCTGGTGTGCATGCATGTTTATTTACATTGCTGTGTACTGATTTCACTGGTGCTGCTGTCTTTTCAAGTAGAAATATCCCCCTTATCAGTTCATTAACCTTCTGCAGGGTTGTTGCTTGTTATATTTCTTCAGGCAGAATAAAGTCTTTGGGAGGACAAATTTAAAGGCTGGGTGATTTATGTTGAAGTTTCTATTATTCAAAGTCAATGCTTCTGTAATAGGGCAGCTTATGTGATACACATCATGTACTTGTTATTTGGCGTAATTTGTAAGAGAGTTCCCTGTTGTTTATGCAGAATTATGTATATTTTGGGGACAGATGCCAGGTAAACTGTGTCACACTAAATATTGCATTTGTTGATTGGAACTGATACAGTGGCCCCCATTTCAGGGCAATTTCCTAACAGTGGGTGACACTTACAGTATATTGTTTGCTTGAGAATTGTTCTATTCAAGGACACGATCAACATGATATTATGTTTAGGGGATGGTTGTTTTCATTACTATTTAGTGTTTTCTTCTGTGTGGGATATACATGTATATCCAAGATTTAATTAAAAATATGTTGACTATAGGCCAGTTTTTGAAGAGCAAGGATCAGTAAGGCTTCGTTCACATGCAATGTCTATTTTCTAAATTCTATTTTCTGTTCGCGGTATGTCTTATGATCACGGTCTGTGCCCTGAATATCCCGCGGCGTAATTACTGGCAGCGCCAGCCAGTTACTAAGGATATTCAGGGCACAGACCGTGATCATAAGACATACTGCGAACAGAAAATAGAATTTAGAAAATAGACATTGCATGTGAATGAAGCCTAAATGTCTTATTTTCTTACTGAATACAACGATGTACAGATGTATATGTATGTCCTAGCTGAATAACACCCAATTAGTTTCCAATGGTATTTGAGGTGTCAGTGAACTTTAGAGTGGTATTGTTGAGTGGGTAAGAACAAAAGCAAACAAAAATTTCAAGAGGTTTAAATCTCAAGAAGTTAAACAGCCAGCTACCAAAAAAAAAAAAAAAAAAAAAAAAATGGCCTTATTTTCTGAACTTATATTGAGTGATATGTACCATGCATACAGGTGTATTGCATTTCTTTTTATTACTTAAGTATTGTACATCTAAAAAAATATTATCATTTAAATATTTGATTCATGAAATGATTCAATACATAAACAATTACTAGTACTCTTTATTTTTTATTATTAATTTTGTCTGGTACAATATAATAATAATAATAATAATTTATTTTTCTATGGCGCATTCCATTAAAAATCTCAATGCGCCTTACAACATTCACTTAAAAGAGCTAAATAACACAATACTAATATAAGAACACATTACAATTTTAAAGGACTAAGAACTAATTTAAAGAACCAATTATTCATATTCTAAAATGATAAGAAACTAAAGTGACAACATTTAAAATAAATCATAAAATTACAGTACACCTTATTAAAAACTAAAATTAACTATATGATAGTTACTGATAGGCTATTCTAAAAATATGAGTCTTCAAAAGCTTTTTAAAAGTATCTATGTCACCTGCTGCTCATATTTCAGAGGGTAAGGTGTTCCAAACTTTGGGTGCATATATCATAAATGCCCTTTCACCGTAAAATTTACCAGCTTTTTTCTCTAAGACAGTGTTCTAAAAGTAAATGACTAAAAGTTGAAGACCTGGTAACTCTTCCATGCTGATGTTGCTTCATAAGTTCTGAGATATAAAGTGATGAACTAATATATATTCTCTTATTGTAACCTTGGTACTATCAGGAATAAAGAACTGTGTTAAGAATACCAATAAAGATGCTGCTATTTGTCATTACATTTTTTCAAAAACTGATCTACATTCAACAATGCATTTGTGCAGCCACGCGTAATTCAATTATTCATCACAGAGGACTAACAGATAAGACCAGGGCACGTACCTGGACAGAAAGAGTGGATTTGGTATACAGCTGATACCACAGTATTGTGTGTGTGATATTGTTTTGATGCCACCTGGATCCAATACATAATTTAGATCTAGATTACAGTCCTGGAATAGAGGCTATGGTGACCTTTGTGGTTAAATACTCTCTTTTACTCTCATTCTCTCTCTCTCTTTCTTTATCATTCTGTCTTTCTCTCTCTCCAAGAAGCGGTAAAGAGAAGTCTTTACAACTTCTCTCTCTCTCTCTCTCTCTCTCTCTCTCTCTCTCTGAATGTATGTAAGGGGCAGACAGCTGGCTTCCTTCCCCTACATAACACCTACTAGTAAGAGTATTATCATCATAATCATCCGTGAGGCATCAGTTAGGTGTGAAATACACAACAATGCCTTGATGCAGCCAGGTGTCGAGGGGTTTGTTATTTGAGTACCTGAATTAATGTGTCAAGCTATTTGTCAGGAAGGATGTAGCATAGAACTTGAACTTCATATCTATAAAGGTGAAGGAGCCTCTGGAAATGCTGAGCTTTGAATATAAAGCTGTAGATGATCCTAAATTTAGAACGTCCATACTTGTTTGCAGGTATTTTTAAGTATTTACTAGTAGGATGCTGTGTAATTGACAGCCCTTAGCTGATGATGATAGTGGGCTCTAATAATGTGAATTACTGCTATGTGGTTTTTTTTTTTTTGTCACTTTCCCCTGAATGCTGAGTTCTTTTTCACTGCATTATTAGTACAATATTATACATGTCAATTTGTAAATAGTGATACTTTTCCACTATTATTTTAAATTTCATTTTAAATCGATTTTGAACTCACACTTTATACATGAATGCGTGGGCATCAGGATAAAACTGGTGGATAATAGATGAAGCAGTTAAATCATCAGGATTGCACTTTTTTATGACTCAATAATCATAATCCCATGCATGGTTTATAAATAGACCTTTCACATTGGGGACTTTAAAGGGCAATGTAATACCTTTATATAGCAAAAGAAATAATACTTGTAATGATACTGAATTCCTATAAATTTTGTCAATTTTCCCTTTATCGCCAAGGAAAACAGCATTGAGAAAATAACAAATTATGTACTAGTATTTCCCCGCATCAGAGCTCTTAACAACCCATTTTACTGTGACATTAGTGACAGTCACCAGTCAGTTACAACATTAGAAGAGTGACTCATTAACTAAGAAAGTAGGGGGAATTTTGAGGGTAATTTTTATAATTTTTTTCTTTTTGACATGGTTTACCTTGATGATTAACGAGTAAAGTGTTGGAATTTCATAGAAAATTGCATTATTTCAAATGTTCACTAGGTGCCTTGGAACTCTCTCGTTCTCTCTCTTTCTCTCTCTCTTTCTCTCTCCTCCCGCCTCCCCCCTGGACTCTGACTTGGATGACAGGTGTGCGTGCATGAGGCATGAATAAGCAACTGTCATTTGTTGCTACACAGGTAATCAAAGAGTCATAAAAAAGTAAGACAGTTGCACCCAGCATAATATATTGCGTGACTGTATGGGGGTAAAGCTGAATACTAGTACATAACTACAGTTTATATATTAAACTCCATTAGGTAGATTTTGTCAGGTAATTTAGTTAACTGTAATGGTGGTTTAAATTCCTCTGCTTGGAATTTTTTTTTTTTTTTTTTGTCAGACTAGCAAATACTTACATTTCAAATGAATATGAAACTGAAGACTTCATTTAAATTGTAAACAAATATTTTTCAGTGATTCAAAGCCAGGTTTATCAAATAATTTTAAATCCTACCCACCATCCTTGCAGAAAACAAAAGAAACATCATATTCAAGTTGACTGCATTTATACCTCATTCAAAATTTGTTCGGTTAAAAATGACCGTTCACTAAATACAAATAGCATGTCCTCTTAGATATACCACTTAGTTTAGACTTACACTTATTTAGACCTGCAACTCAATCTAAGGCTGTATTCCCAGAGCTTTTAGATCGATCTATCCCCGCGGGGAGTCTCACTAGATTACTGTCAGATAATCTGGCTTAAATGTCCGTCCCGCCTACTACAAGCTGTAAGGGGATAATTAACTTTTGTGTCCGCTCGGCTGACAGCTATTTAGCGTGAACCCCCAGGGAGTTAGGTCGATCTAAAGTAGATTGATCTAATCTCTGGAAATGGGGTCTAAAAGTAGGGCATAGAAAAAATCAAGGGAAAAATACTTTGACTTTGCTGTACTTGTAATTATGCTAAGTACTAGTAATTGGAATCACACACTTGTGATGTTAAAACCTCTATGGAGAATTGCAAACACACAGCAATGAACAAGATATTTTAAATTAACTCATCATCTTGTGAGTGTGTTTCACTAATTCATAAATCTTCTATAGTTTGTTTGCTGCCATGAGATCTCGCCCTATTCCAGATAAAACCCTTGGCTCACAAATATAAACCCACAGTGTTATGACATGGGGAATTGCATGTGTGCATGCTCATTTCTCCTACGCACTTCTACTAGTTCAATATATTCAGCACTTCTATGCTGGGTACTTGAGGTAGATAAAAATCTTAGTCTGTCATGATAAACACAATCATATATGAACCTGTAGCAATATTCACCATTCACTTGGTCTTGTAATCCTGGACCAGTGCCTCCTTTGTTGTGGGGTGTAGCTTGGTTTGGTCGTGTTTCCAGTTAAGCTGGGATGACTTAACTTTCTGCATTATCATATATATCTGCATAATATATATATATATATATATATATATATATATATATATATATTGTCTTTATTGTATACATCTATTGTCACGTTCCCAGTAGAAGTGAGATGTCGTACACTTTGTTGGTACCATGCACATGGCAGATGTGCTAATATGTGATTGTGTCAAGCTATAGCCGAGTTCATAGTGAAGATGGATCAGCCAAACTTTGTGCATTAATTATCACATAATTATGCTTATTGTCTGAAATACATTCTTGATATTGTGTTTGTATGATTGTATCACTACTCTCAGCCGTCTTCCCAGTGAAGGTAGAATGACCTAACTGTGTGTTGTCTGTTAATAATTTTTAATTATGACATGTCTTTTTTCTTTCTCTGTCCATTACCCCTGTAATTATATTGTGGATAAGTACTAGTTTTATGCCTGTAGATCGGTTTCCTTCTAATGATTCAAAGTCATGATCAGATAGCCTACTAGTACTGAATTGGTATGCGTTTAAGTTGGAACTGCTCATCTCAGCTGAAAACAGGTCTTGGCTAACTAACTGATAACATTACTGATAGTACAGTCAGCTATTGTATTGATGGGTTACATGCCAATAATTGACTTACAAGGTACAGGGTTTGAAAAGCTCCAAATGTGGTGATAGTAATGTTACAGTAGCTGTGGTTTAATATACTACTCGCAATCCCTGAGAAAACTCTACTTCACCGGGGCCTCAAAATGAATAAATTTTCAGTCAGTTTTTCTGTCAGCTGGAGTTTATCCTGAAAGTTGTAACCAAGAAGTATAAATACTTCCTTGTTGTAATTGGAGCAGTTAAATTTTTTTTACAAAAACTGAAGTAACCGCCCTTTAAAAACTGAATTCAAAAGTTGGTCTTGAAATCTGAGACTGGAAAATTTTATCAAATTCTTTATTATTTGTACAAGTATGCTGAAATTAAGTGGTCTAAAGCAATTGACATGTCTTTTGCTTTTCTACAATATTTTTACCAATACCTTCTTTTTAGTGGGCACATGGGTTCTTTCACGAAATCAGGCCTAGACTTTTCTTAATTTCGATTTGTCATTGGATAAAAAAAAAACTGAGCATGATTTATTGATTTATTTCCAGACATTTGTTCTATTTGACTGTGAGAGATGACTTTGTCAACGGCATCCTCAAACTGCGGTCCAGAGAGCAGGAACTCGACATGGCCGCACACATCGCACAGGCGGAACTGGGAGACTTGTGTAAACACTCTCCGCATCACTGTGCTTCCTATCCCTCCTTTTGTCCAGAAACTTTTCGATCCTGCACTGACCATCTCGCTCAGGTCGCACACAGGCACGAGCAGCTGGCAGGCATGAAAACGAACAACGCAGAATATCGCATGTTGCAGTTTGCAGAGACGGCAGAGAATTTTGGAGTGGAGTTTCACCAAGCCAAAGATCTCTCCACAGGTCAGGATCTCAATATTGGTGTGGGTCCCGGAGGAATTATTCTCTACAGCATGCAGACAAATCAGGTCCAGTTTAGGTGAGTGCAGATATTGCCCTTTAGGCTTCGTTCACATGCAATGTCTATTTTCTAAATTCTATTTTCTATTCGCGGTATGTCTTATGATCATGGTCTGTGCCCTTAAAGGGATAATAACTCTTCGTTTCGGCCAAAAAATGAATTTTCCTGGAGTAAACAATAATTTCCCCATACTTACCAATGGTTAATGAATCCATTTTTACATTCAAAGTTAGTCCCTGTTTTTTTTTTCTAAAAAGTTTGGTTTTTTGTTAAAATCTGTTAAGAGATTTTAACAGAGTATAGCCATCAATGGAGGTCACGTGGTCTAAAGACAAGCTCAGATATCAGAATAATAGCTATAACTGCCGTTTTTGTGGTAAAACAGAATATATTATATTTCTATGAGTTATTCACATTGTTTTTATTGTGAAATATAGGTCTCGTACGAAGAGTTATTATCCCTTTAATATCCCGCGGCGTAATTACTGGCAGTGCGAGCCAGTTACTATAAGTTACTATAAGTAACTGGCTCGCGCTGCCAGTAATTACGCGGTGAGATATTCAGGGCACAGACCGTGATCATAAGATAGCGCGAATAGAAAATAGACATTCCATGTGAACGAAGTCTTAGTCTGTCTGTCTGTCTGACTGACTGACTGTTGGACTGACTATATAGGACATTTCTATCTCATTTTGACAAGGGTGTTGTGACACGTTATCCACCCCTCTGGTAAAGGGAAAAAGCATCTCTGGAAAAAAAAACAGGTGACTGCACAGAAGAGGAGTGTGTGTGCATGGGCACGTGTGTGTGTGTGTGTGTGTGTGTTTGTGTGTGTGTGTGTGTGTGTGTAAGGGGGCGGAAAGCAGACGCCTGTAACCATGATACAAGTCATGCAGACACTGTTCCTGTTTTTCATTTCAGAACCAAAAATAAACATCAGTTGAGCTTTGAATTCTAATTTCCAATCCTATGCTACCACTTCTCTGTCTTAAAAGATTCAGAAGCATGGATATTTGGAATGGGTCACAGTATATGAAGAACATACTGTTCTTTGTGTGGTGGGAGATTCTTGTTGCACAGCAAGACTTGCAAGATTAAATTAGTGGAGAGCTGCACTATGCAAACATTGATTTTTATTAGCAGGAAGTCTCAGATTTGAGGAAGAATTAACTTCAGAGAAAAAAGAGCCTAGCTCTAGTTGGCTCCTGTAAACCAGAACCACACTGTCCTTATTCTGCTCAGGGTTGGATTATGAAGAACAACATGTGAATCTATGTTTTAGCTGGTGTTTTATTTAAAATGAAAGGTTTTGACATTTCATATTGAATGATTTTATTTACGCCCCACTAGGCTATACGTGATTGCCTTTCACACATGATCACTAGCTTGGTAGTATATTCTATTGCATATTGCTACCAAGCAGTGGTTATTCCAACACAACATGCTTATTTTAATATTTAAAATTTTGTTTTTATAAATTGTAGTAATAAAAATCTGTCAGCACCTGATTAAATTGTCACACACTAAATTGTTTCTGTGAAAAAGTCAATATATACTCTGCCTAATATCCAGATTGCTTTACTTCCTTACCTTTACGTTATTTATATGGTCTCACTGCCATAAATAACAATGACCAGTGAAATCTGTCATTCACCTGAAATTACCCTATCTTCACTGTGAAAAAATTATGTATATTGAGTAATGCCCCTGAGATCAAAATGGTCAAGTGTCGTAACTGTTGTTAAATGATCTCTGAGTGACCAGGGCTTTGACCGGACATTGCTGTGCCTAGGCTACCTTCAAAGTGTAAGGAAAACAAACACCTGCAGCTGGACGTACTGGACAGATTTGATCAAAACTAGGAGCACCTGTGGCTTACTCATTAAGGCCTCACTGTGACCATCCAATGACCTGCCCTATGCCTCATATAAAACAAATTAACATAGTGTACAGCATGCTGACATGCCTGTATGCCTGATGAATATAAATAAAAACAAAGTTTCCGACCTTTGTGTCTGTTGTGCTGACCTTAAAATGACCACTAAGTGACCAGTGCATCAGTACATTGCCTTGGGTGCATTGCCCCACGTAAAGACAAAAAAAGCTATGTACTAGTGGTGTAACAACACCTGAGGCTCCTGATCTTATTTTGGTGGAGAGAGAGAGAGAGAGTGAGAGAGAGAGAGAACCAAGTGCCTGCTTTTGGAGGGGGAAGTGCAGTTAATAAGCAAGGAGTGGCTAGGTCATTTTACACCTTTGTCTAAGGTGTGAACGATTTATGAAAAATTAAACAAAGAACAAGATAATATGTAGACACAATTTTTTTTTTTTCAAAGATGGATAAATGACTTAAATTTAGTACTTAACCAGTATCTTAAGTTCCAAAGTTCCAGAGAAAAAACACCACAATTGATAGTTGGTTGGCTTGAATGCAGGTAAAGGCACTGAAGTCTATTGATTGTTTTGGGTTTATTTGTACTGATCATTTGTTAGGTGATATTCTGTAGCTTGGGTTTGCTGTTATTTTTAGAAACAGTTGCCTTTTTACTTTACATTCACCTGGGCTTCGAAGAAGTGATCTTTTCACGATACCATTTAAAGTTTCTTTGTTGAACGTTTACAGCTCATCAGCAGCAGAGAAAGATATTTAGGTGACCGAAAATTGTTGAAGTTTGACATCGTAACATCGCAGCTGTTAGGTTTTGTTCTCTATAATAAACAAGATTTAAAAATAGACTTGGGCCAACAATGAAAGTATTTCACTTTTGCTTTCCATTATTTTGTATGTGTAAATATGATAGAACATAGCTTGTTTTTTTCCAAAAATGTTATGTTAAGGTACTATATACTGTACACAAAGCATACATATTTTTAATTACCAAAGGGGATTAGTTTTTGGACAACTTAAAAAAAAAACATCTAATGTTTATTTCATCTGAACATTAGGTTGGGAATTCCCAGAACCAATCAGTGTCTTGTTGATTATAGCCAGTATTGCTTATTCTGGTTAATACAAATATAATTATATAATGGTGCAAATTCTCTGCTGATACGGAGAAAAGAGAAGTAAGAATAATTTAGAAGTAAAATTGGTCAATATTTTTTTCAATGTATAATTACATGAGTGTATTGAAGATATTTAACCTCTGTAGGTTGGGTAACACAGCCATATTGCATACCCTTTGATTATGTTGTATAGACAAAAATAACTACTGCATCCAAGATATTTTGACTGCATTTAATATCAGAAAGCTTAAAATGTGAAAGAAAAACATTTCCTGTTATTTTGTGACTCATGCATATCAAGTAGTCCCCTAAATGCACTGTAGAATTAAAGCATTGTGAAATTGTTTTCTCCTGATAGAAATATTGTGTGTACGTAGGTGTAATATATTGTGGTGAAAAAAATTCAAGTGCACCTTCAGCTCTCTTTCCAAATTTTCTCTTTCTAAAATCTGTCTTGTTTTCTGGCATAATTTCTTAATTTTGGTCACAATTAGCAACAAGTGCTAGGCTGTTTAATTTTCGTATTCTGTTATTTATTTTGGTACAGATTCAGTTTATGTGTTTTAATCAAGATCTGTTTTAGTTGTAAAATTTTTATCACAACTTAATTTGTATTATTTCTATATTTTACATATGGAGTTAGTCAGCTTGGGAAAAACAACAATTAAAACTAGTGCTAAAATTTACCCCATCTTCTTCCAGCATTCCATACCCAACAGTCCAAATAGCCATCCATAATGGCAAAGATTTTCACTTAACCGTCATCAGAGACAATGGAAGCCAGCATACTCAGGGGTTTCGCTTGGTCAGCCAGAGAGCAGCTGACGCCCTCTATAGGTGCGTCACAGAGATGCATTCCTTCTATCGATGTGACACTGTGCGGAATGCAGTATCTGGCCAGTTCAGTAGGGACTTGAAGGGCACCCTGGCTTCTCTTTTTAATGAAAATACAACTCTGGGTGAGTTGGGTTTTTATTATTCTTACAGTAGTTGTATATTCTGAACATGTCATGGGGGGGGGGGGGGGGGTAAAATAATTTGGTTAACAGCTTACATTGTCGTAAAGTGACCTTGATATTTTAAGCTTTAAAAACATATTGACAGCATCAATGAAAAGTGTTTAAAATTGTAAAAAAATTCAAAGTGTTTTAGGAGATTATTCACATTGAGAACTGTCACAGATAGAATCTGTTATGGAAGTAGAATCTGTTATGGAAGAGTCAATGTGATGAGCACGCATTAGCATGCCCTTAAGCATTTCTTCGTCCTTCTTTTAGGTAAGCGGTACATCTTTGACATTAGACGAACATGCAGGGAAGTGTGCGACCATGCACGGCGTGTGTTGTACACTACAGGTCGTGATGTCCTTCGCAAACCACGTGCAGAGGGTGAAAGTGTGCAGGATTGCCACCAGTGTGAGGGTGCAGCATGTCCGTTGGACAAATTTGACAGTCAGGTAAAACTTATACCATGTCATGAATTTCAAATGAAATTGCTACACAAATGGGATAAATTTGTATTGTAAATATGTAAACAACATAAGTATCTATGAAAATTTCAGAAAATGTTATGATTATGAACTATTTTAAGTTTAAGAATACGTAATACTGTGACTTTGAGTATTAAAGATGTTTTTTAATGTGTCTGGCCTACCTGTACTCTTGGTTTTATTTATGGTATCCATTATTGTATCTGGTATAATTCTGTTAAAAAAATGTCCCATTGTTGGTATATTCCATGTCCAGTTGCATAAAACATGCTTACCACAGATGGTACTATAACATTAATATTTCCATGTATTAATACTATTACCAAGTAGAAATGGCTTTGTAGAAGTCAACTGAGTTTGAAAGGTGTCTTTTTTCTGTCACCAGATGGAGCATCAAGACAGTCCATACACGCAGGTGGAGGAGGAAGAATCATTGTTGTGCCGTGTGTGTATGGATGCCAACATTGACATCACATTTGGTCCCTGTTGTCACACCGTTTGTTGTCACTCGTGCATGCGTCGTCTTGACCACTGCCCGATTTGTCGCGCACCAATTGAGAGCATTCAGCGCATCGTGCCACAGGAAGAAATGTGCACGCTGGAACTGTAATAACAGAGAAATTGTGATATGACTGTGATTTCCCTGAGATCTGAATGATCCGCTACAGCTATATTTGTACACAAAGACATGAACAGAAGGCGTAAATGTGAAAAAAGAACTGGACAGACCCCATTTGTATTGTGTTGGGAGTATTTTGAAGTCCCATTTTTGAAAAAAAAAGATTTTGATCTATCCAGGTGCTTTCCACAGATAGGGAAAATTTGGTGAAGGTATTCCAATTTTCCTCATGATATTATATTGGCACTTATTTGGTGCTGAATTTATGACTACAATTGATAGTGTCATACGCTGTGGAAGTCACTTTTAATACATATTTTTTTGTGGCTGTACCTAACAAGGACACTTAGAATAGATTCAAAAAGATTTACATTGTTGGGGAAATCTCCCCCCGCCCCCTTGTTTTCAACATACCCAAAATTTATTTTCAAGAGATTTTTTTTTTCAAAAGAAACTCATTATTATCATCATCATTGTCATTGTCATCGTCATTATGTAGCACATAAGGATGGAGAATAATTCTTAACAGAAGGAGACCGGAGATGTTACACTCTTTCTCTGCGTTAATTTTCACTGAAACAATGGCATATATTTGCCAGGCCAAATTGAAGAAGTGACTTTTCTTGACTGAAACACTGAGCATAAAGTGCTTATGTGTGGAGTATTAGCACCAGAGAGTTAAATGACAAGATGAAGTGGCAGAACTCTTGTGTGACGTTTAACACTTGTGTTAACGTTTAACACTTAAGTGGGAAAACATAGTGCTTGAACTTCAGTGGGAAAAGATTGTAATGAGCTGCAATGAAAATGGAGTGCTAAAAAGGATCGACACCTACAGCGATGTGGAGAATGGTCAGAAGCGAAAGTGCTGATACCAGATCAGTGGAGTAGTGTCCCTCGTTTGACATTTTAAGTGTCAAAATGATTTAAGAGCATTTTGTTGGGCACTTGCAAAGACTGCCTTTTTGAAAGTGACTTTGGTGCTATGAAATAAACTGCTGGGCAGTTGAGTAGTTAGTATGCTTTGACTGATGCTAATCAAACTAAAAAAAGAGTAATTGTCATATAAACTTATTTATTATAAACTGTCATCACTTCATATTGTCATCACTTGTTCTTTAGTATTTGATTTGTATCTCCTTGATTAATCTCTAGAGAATCCTCTGCACTTTAGGGTTATTCTTTTTATATATGTTTAATTAAGTGTATAGTTTTTTTTTCATTAATTTTATTTCTTGATCTTTGATTTTGGTTTTTAATTTCTTTTCTTTACTTCAGTTGATAAGATTCAGTTGATAAGAAGATTAATTATTTATAGTTGAAGAAATCTCCATATCAGTATTGACATCCTCAACTAAAAGTGGCTTTCAATCAGAGACTTGTTTTCTACAGTGAAAATGTGATCTTTCACAAGTGGCTGCATACAAGCCCTTAATATGTTTTTTTTTTCAGTTAATGTACATAAGAATCTTGTTATGATACAGATTGTCAAAGGACTTGAATGTGGTTACTCTGGAAAATGCACTTTTAAATGAAAAATGACATGCATCTGCTGCACTGAGAGGAAATTATATCACCTAGAAATTTACCACTTGGTCTATATTTGTGTCTGTCTGATCTTAATGTATTCCAAGGTGCTATTACATTTCTTCAGGATCTGTGCCAGCTACTGAAGACAAAAACACCTCAAATGTTAGAGCAAGAGCACCAAAATCTCTGCCCAGGCTTAAAGGGATTTTAAAATGTATTTACTTATCTTACAAAAGTAATGTGTTATGGAGCAAGCAATAATTATATCTCTGTTGTTTTTACATTAGTGATCTCATTATGTATCTTGTAAAAAAAGTACTGTCGATTGATTATGCTTCATAAGTGAGGTTGGTATGTTCCAATTTTAGAATGTGTCCGACATTTTAAGGACATTGTGAAAGTTTCAATCCCAGTGTAAGAGAAAGAATCAGAAGCTTTTTTTTTTTTTAAGGAAGTAAGGTACTACTGTGGCATCGTGTTTTGTTCCTGTAATTATTCATATGGATATAAACACGAGAGTAACTCATTTGGTGCAATTTCAAAACCAAAGCCGTGCCATTGCCAACAAACAGGGACTGTCTTCTGATATTAAAGTTACCCCCACCCTGCAATGTTATATATGAAGATGTGGTATCTGTTGGGAGGTTTTCAGTCAAATGATCTGTTTTGAGGATTGCAGCAGTTTAACTCTTGTCATTTCAGTTTTTATTCTTTTTCTTGTCATTGAATATTTAACTGTTTTGTACTGTAGCCATAGCAATGCAATAAAGTTTTAAATTATTTATGTGGCTTTGGCGTTTTTATTGGCAAGGGAAAAAGTACTCGCATTGGTTTGTTTTTGTGAAAGGAATTATGTAAGTTGAGAAAGTGCTCAATCAGTTTTGAGTGCAACAGGTACATTTATGACTAACAGCTGCCACAATCGGATAAACCAATGGCAGAAATGAGTGTGTTTGCGGGGGGTGGGGGCAAAGATGACAGATTACTCCTTGATACTCAATTTATCGTCTTCGGTACTTTGACTTCGTTATAATGATCACTGGCGATCCTTGCATTTTTCATTCTTCTAGGTGTATTTTCAAAATGAACGAATAAAATGCACTATTCGTAGGACATGTGTACAAGTAGATCCTGCAAAAGATCGAGTTATAAGCATCCGATCCGGTTTGTGTTGTAGAAATCTGATGTTTTAGTGATATAATGCTTCACAATTACATTTGGCACATTTCTTTTTTATGCGAGATAACCTCCTAGTGTGTGTGAAGAGTAAAAATAAGCCTACTGTTTAACTAGAAAAGCACTCCGAAAGCGCAGACCTCCGCCAAGGCATCAAAGTCTCCACCCAATGCCGTTTCACCCCTAAATTTTCATTCTATAATGATTTAGATTTTTTAATTTTTGATAATTGATTATTGATCCGGATCACCACCAAAATTAATCATCTGTTCCTTGGGCCACTTCTGACAGTTCCTGAAAATTTCATCAAAATCGGTCCATAACTTAGTTTTTTATTTTTGATTATTCATTTCTGATTGATTTTTCATCCGGATCACCACCAAAAACTAATCACTTCTAAGTTAACTCATTTCTGACCTACCCTGAAAATTCCATCGAAATTTATCCATAACTTTTTTAGTTATGTTGATGACAAACAAACAAACAAACAAACAGGGGTGAAAACATAACCTCCTTGACGGAGGTAAAAAAAGAACAGCTGGGATTCTTAATTGTGTTAGGTGAGCAAGAACAACTCTTCACATTTTGAAATTATTGCGGCCTGTCCCCCTGGCCTTAGTTGATACAACCATATCTGACCCCCCCCCCCCTCTCCCTCTCTCTCCCTCTCTCTCTCTCTCTCACACACACGCGCGCGCGCGCGCACACACACACACGCATACACAGGAATTAATAGAATTTGTTTACAAATAAAACAACAATAAACAGTATCTCAACTGAGGGAGGTTCAAATAGAACTAATACCTTATTCGATTTTTTTATTTCACGGAGGCCATGGTATTGTGATAATTAAAATTAGCAAATATTTCGAATTCTCACATAACTGGGTACTACATGATACAACATACAATCAACAAAATAACTTCTATATCAAAACTGACAAGTTCTGATACGCTGTATATTTACTTTACCCGTCCCAACCCAAACCATATCTTTGATGTTACAAGGTTAGTTCCCAACAGTGTTTGGTCGACCTTTCTTGTATCGGACCAATCCCATGGTCCGTCTTATTAAGATTAGTTCCTCACTGGCAACGGATCTAATGTCTCTGTTGTACCACCCTCTGAATAGAGGCAAGTCGTATACTGTTAAATCGGATTGTCAAAGTATAGCCATAACCAAATGACTTGCTGAAATGGGTTGTACCTAGTTAGGTATATCCATTCTGACTGTAAACAGAACTGAAGATTCCAAATAATCTACCTTAAAGGGATAATAACTCTTCGTATGAGGTCTATATTTCACAATAAAAACATTGTGAATAACTCATAGAAATATAATATAATGTATTCTGTTTTACCACAAAAACGGCAGTTATAGCTATTATTCTGATATTTGAGCTTGTCTTCAGACCACGTGACCTCCATTGATGGCTATACTCTGTTATAATCTCTTAAGAGATTTTAACAAAAAAAAAAAAACTTTTTAGACAAAAACCAGGGACTAACTTTGAATGTAAAAATGGATTCATTAACCATTGGTAAGTATGGGAAAATGTGGAAGACAAACAATTTCAGACCTTGTGCAGTATATCTTTGACCATCAGATCAGCCGTACCCCCCCTCCACCCCCTTTCTACTCGAGGCCTAGTTCCGCCATTGTGTTATGGAAAAGGGCTAAGACAGCTGCCCCCCCCCTTCATATCCAGCAAAGACTAACGACACACGCAAGAGGTCAAGCGGTCTGATCTCAAACACATTTTCATTTTCATTAATTTTGTTGTTTTCCAGTTAAGAATGTTTTCGGTAATTATTTGAACATTGTAGTTTAGATATATCTTCCAGATGTCTTTTCATGAAACTATAGTTATATGGGCAACATATTTTAGTGGGAAATACACAAATTGACTGTAACAGTAAATATATAAATCACAAAAAAAAGAAAAGAAGAAATTAATTCTTCTAGGTCAAGACAGAATTTGGTTTTTGCATAGAGGATTAATTTCTGATAGGAACCATGAGATGGCAATTTTATATGTATTAATCAGTGTCGCGTTGACAAGCTTTATCAGTGACCGTCAGAAGGGTTGTCTTTGGTAAACAGAAACCTATATATTGTCCTGCATTGAGACAAACAAGAGGTTCATATCTCATTATCAGTTTGATTGAATTCTTCATACCGGGACAGAATCTATAACTAGATGTACGAGGAGGCTCCCAACTTCAATATGCCTGGACAGGGCAAGCAAGGACCTAGTTGGCCAAAGGAACATGCATAACGCTAACATTAGAAGCCGTGAGCTATCATTCAGTAAATAGATAAAGCGATAGATTACTTGGCAAACAGATCTGGCAGAAAGATTTTCGAGAAAGACAAGTGCCCATACGAGTCCTCACCGGCGCAATTTGAGCAACAGTCTCCTTTTGCGACGTTACCAAATTAGTTACGCAAGGGACGTTCTGAGTAAAATAGCTGTTTCTGGCTTCTGGCAGCCGTAATGGCTAAAACCCTAGTGGTATTTTTATGTGGATTGGCGCTGGCAAGTTGCGCCTCAGTGAGGAACAAAAGAGCAGGTGGGTATTTCGTGTAATTTTCCCGTTTAACAGGATTCAGATGACGCAATATTTCGACAAAGATGTACCTTGGAATCATTAAGATGGTTAAACTATCCTATTCAACAAATTATGTAAAATGAACGAAATTTTAAATTGAACTGTTTTTTTCTTAAATAAAATCAAGCACTATTAACCAAAATGTTATGTGAATATGCTAGATGATGAAATTGTTGGTAGTAGTTTATGGGGAATATTATCGATAAATCTGTAAGAATCTCATTTTACAAAACATTAGACTTATCTATAGCATACCTATCTTGTAGACTTTATAAAAACTTACGTGAAACTCCAAGGCAAGAAAAGCACGTGGATACCACGTGGTGACCACTCTAGGTGAATATGGTCTTCACGTTATATTAAACGTGAGTCCTACATGAATTAGTGGAGGGAACAACGTTACAGTTCCACGTTATATCGAACCTGGCTATAATGAGCACAAAGTCAAAAATCTACACCCACTACTTTATACATGGGGGTTCCGAGTGGGAGGATTGGTCGGGGAGGGGGAGAGGGGATTAGTCTGCCAAAACCTGTCAATTAAATAGTGCACTTGAGTCAGTTATTATATGACTTTAAACACACTTAGTAAAGTTCCCAGAAATAGTTACCAACGATGGCTTTGTTGCTTTAATTCTATTTTGAAAGTATAGTTTCAAAGAACAGAGGTGTCATTTGTAGCAATTTTTTTGAGAGTGTATCCTCTATGAGAAGAATTAAGTCTTCAAGAAAGGAGTTTATCAAGAGATAATTTTTTTTTTCGAGGCTGAGATTTCAAGAACCAAAGACAACAATAAAGAAATGTTATTCTCTTATTTAATTATCATCATTATTTGTTTTTCTTTTAAAGGAGCCTGGGTCGAATATGACAATAAAGAATATTTATACGTAAGTACCCCTAAAACTTTTGATGATGCCCGCCGTGACTGTCTCGTCAAGGGAGGCGACCTCCTCGTTCCGGATAGTGCCGCAGAAAACAACTTCATCTTGGGAAAGAAATGGGGCGTGGCCTGGATGGCGGTGACTGACAGAAGGGCGGAGAAAACGTGGCTTACTGCAGCAGGGAAAGCTCTGAAATATACCAGTAAGTAGACGTTGAGACATTCTAATAAGAAAAGAAAAAGCAATAATGAAGCTTTTTAGTTATAGTATAGTAAAAGTGTCATCGCAATGCGATGGGCTTTACACTTGTCTCTGAACAACATACCTAAGTTAACTGAAAGGTCCAGAAGCCAAAAAGTTATAAACAATAATCAATGGCCTCAATTCAAATCAATCACCAATATTTTAAGTGAACTTTCTCTTTCTGAATATTCACCTTAATACGCTATTTTCTAATCGATCAGCAAGAGACCACAGCAGTTCAAAATGGCGGGTATATGGGGGGGGGGGGGGGAGGTTTAGAGTTTTGGAATAAGCTTTTCCTCAAAACTATCAAAACTATGTTGTAGTCAGGGGGGCATCACATCTCAATCAGCAACTCAGAACAATATCTAGATCTTCGTCAGTGTGCCGGGGGAGTGTATACCGGGTTATCTTGAAGTAATATTGGCGCTGACCTCTGGATAATGGCTCCCTGTCACATCGGACCGGCTTCTGGTGGAGTGTCAAACGTATCAGAATCTGGAATCGGGGATATCAATGGTAGTTTGGATTCCCACGGTCAAAAACAATTAGTTATTGTCTCCTGACGCATAGTATCGAGGTAGGAGGGGGTGGGGATGAAGAGGTAAATATAGTTTAAACATAAGTCTCGAAGGACATGTTTACCCCTTCTTTTTTGTTTCGATCGATAAAAAATTGACAAAAAAATTATTTGAAGTGAACATCATTTGCTGATTAATATATTAATATATTTTGATTAATTTTTGTTTGCTTTTTTATCTCCAATCGACCAAATCTTAACTGCAATCCTCATTTTTCTTTATTTAAAAACTTATCTCACCGATTCGCCCCGTATGATGTTTTATAACTGTCAAACAAAAACTTTCAAGTGGACAGTGCATCCAGTGTCAGTGTACTATTTAAAAATACGATTTGGAAAGCAAGAAAGCTAAACATACCGTTAGTCCATTTTTCATCGGTGACATTCATGTATTCACACTTTGGCCACCATTACCACCGGAACTTTCCCGTTCCTAATCGAGACAACTTAACTAAAATTGGTATTATGAAAATATGGACATGCGAACGCTTCATGTCTTGCACAAATAAAATTCCAGGCTAGTAAAACAATGTAAAAAGGGCCTCTTAAATCTGTTTCTCTGCCTCAAATTATAACTACCCTATTACTATTACAATTACGATACGTACATTGTAGATTGGAGCCCTGGAGAGCCCAATGACAAGGACAGTGATGAAGACTGCGCAGAGTTCTTGACCAACGGAAAATGGAACGACAGGCCGTGTCACACGTATAAAATCCCGTACATCTGCGAGAAAGAAGGTATGGGCGGTCTACCTTTAGCAATTTTATATTTATCGTTCTGTCTGGAGATAAAGGAACTCCCGCATTCGACACAGTCAACTGAATTTTGTTGGTCTGCCATATTTCTAACCTGTTAAAGAAAGCCTGATCGATACACCCCCATGAGTTACTGTGGAGGGGAAGGTTAAAAAGTTGAAAACACGGGGAAGAATTGGGTTAACCACAATCCAACCAATTTCTTTGAGTAATTATTTTATCTTTTATGTTTTTCTTTCAATATTCTGAGGATAATATCTTGTTATATCCTTCTACAACCCTGAATGTATATAATTTAAATAGCCATTGATGTCGAAATTATTTATTCAAGGAGGAATAAATGGGTTATCAACATGGATTTTTTTTAAAGGTTGTGGTGGAAATCCGGCGGATGTCGTGTTCGTTCTCGACGCATCCGGTAGCGTCGGAGCAGCCAACTTCCAAACCATGCTGGCTTTCATCAAGAAATTTACATCCAGCTTTGACATTGGACCCACGCAAACGCAGGTCGGAGTGGTGACCTACGCCACAAATGTGGTTCCAAACTTTCAACTGAATACTCACAAGTCCAAGACGACATTAGACCCTGCCATCTGTAAGTAACGAGGATTATCTATCATTGAGAAAATAGACAATCACTTATTTCAGTTAAAAGTTTATTAAAGGAATTATTAGTACTTGATCACAATGAAAAGTTTTGTTCGAAAAATGCCAAAACAGGTTTGTTTTTTTTTTTTCTTTGCTACACATTGCCATGTCTTGTACACACACTGGACAATAGAAGTGTCACCGCTACTGAACCAACACTTTGGGGGAGATAAATGACTGTGGAATGATATGCTCCTGGTATCATTTTATTAACATCAAATTTCACAAAAGAAACGGTTCTGACTGAACAATTCAACTGTATCGTTATTCTGATATTGCTTATATTCCGCCTCTTCAGGTTAATAACTTGATTACTCTGATTCAGGGGTGACACTTCCATTGCCCAGTGTGTGTACTTTGGATCAGAATAAAAAAGAAAAGGATAATAAGCTATGATACAGATGTACAGACTGCAGAAGCTATCTGTCCAAGCCTGAGTAGTGTATCTTAGGGCAAACAAGGTTGTATTTAGTGACGTCAGACATATGACAAATGTGATGACGTAACACTGCAAACAAATTTAATGGCGTAATGCTACGTAGAATATCCAATTATCGCATTTCCCTCTCTTCAGCTGCCATTAAGTATACAAGTGGGGGTACCGACACGGCTAAAGGCATCAACTATATGACAAACACGATGTTCACAGCGGCCAACGGCGCAAGGAAAAACGCCGTCAAAATCGGAATTGTTATGACAGACGGTTCGTCCAACGATAAAACAGCGACTCTGCAAGCCGCAGCTGCTGCCCGCGCAAAGGGCATCTCTATGTTCGCCATTGGCATCGGAAGTGGTATTGGCCAGGCTGAACTGAACGGCATTGGCAGTGACCCGGACAAGGACTTCGTGTTTGTTGTCAATAACTTTGCTGTTCTGGACAATATTAAGGCGATTCTGAAGAAGAAAACTTGTGAAGGTATTGTTGTTTCATGAGAATACCTGCAGTTATTTTAAGTCCTTCGCTGCTTTACTTGCTAACGTGTTAAATGTGTCTAAAACAAATTTTCTTTAGCCAACAATCAGATAGTTTCGAGTTACGTATAGTTTATATTTCATTAATGTGTATTAAAGTAATTATTATGAGAAGATTGCAATGTTTTCTGAAATTTGATGTTAATTCCGTTAAACGTGTGTTTGACGATATTAAGACTGCTATGTGAATTAATTATTCTTTTTTTTTTTTTTTTTACTTTTCTTTCAAGTTCCAAAGCCACCTCCAAGTACGTATCTTTAGGCAGCAGAGACCAAAAATGAACATTTAAGCAGAACATTAAGCAGAACTTTGTTATGCTATTATCACAATCATTAATTTACTTCAAAACTTTGCGCCCTATTTGCGTATAGTTGTTGATAATCAAAATTTAAGTAAATAAAGCAATAAGTGTTATAGCTCTGTGAATCGACTGTTAGATATGTTTTCCAGTGTTACTTTAATATATTAATAAATAAATAGAGGTACTGTTTACTGTAATGACTTTTAAATGGAAATCTTAATATGTATGTCTCTAGTCGATGGTGGATGGTCTGGTTACGGCAGCTGGAGCCAGTGCTCCGTGACGTGTGGTTCAGGAACACAATTCCAGGAGAGAACATGTACCAATCCCGCCCCAGCCTTCGGTGGAAAATACTGCACGGGTTCTGACAGACAGACCAAAGTCTGTAAGGCGTCAGCCTCGTGTGCAGGTGAGGAGGGGAGTAGGATTGGGCGAAATTTCCCCAGCGGGCTTTTACTGGGTGTCACGAGAGTGCCCTGATTTAAATAGAAAAGTTTTAGTCTCGTTCAATTCGGGAGGAGTATAATGTGTGTTAAAGCAGGCCAGTAAGTCTTGTAAATGATTACTTGATTAACATATTGCATATAGCTTCAAACATCAAACATGAATAATGTAAATAAAGTGCATATCTTTATATAAAAAATTCTCTCACTCTTCAAAAGTTGATGGGAAGTGGTCGGCATTTGGTGCCTGGAGTAAGTGCCCTGTGACTTGTGGTGGAGGTAAGATATTTAGAGAACGCCAGTGCAACAATCCAGCACCGAAAAATGGAGGCAAAAACTGTGTCGGAGCCGCAAGGGAGACCAAAGATTGCGCCACTGCACCATGTCCAGGTAGATAAGTTAACTTTTATTTCTTCATAATTTTATCTTTTTCATTCTATCCTTTATTTATTTTTACTTTGTGTAAGATTTAAAAAAAAACAGGGAAAAGAAATAAATGTGTTCAAATAAACTGCTGAAGATACATTATTCCTTCAACTTTAAAACTTTATAAAAATTTTGTGCAAGAACATTTATGCGAGTTTAATGTATATCAAATAAATGTGTTCAAAATTGTCTATTCTGCTCTCAGTACACGGCAAATGGAGCGCGTACGGCGCGTGGAGCACGTGCAGCAAGTCGTGCGGAGGAGGTACCCAGTATAGAGACAGAGCATGCAATAACCCGGCCCCTCTCCACGGTGGAAACAACTGTGTGGGCGCTGCCAGAGAGACGAGAGTTTGTAACACCCAGAAATGCAAGAGTAAGTAGACGTACAAGGCCCCTTGTAGTTTACCCAAATTGATCTTTTAATTGAAAAAATATTGTCTTATCTTTTATCTTATTTAACCTCATTCTTTTAATTCTTGTTAACTTTTTATTTTACTTTTATTGATATAATAATTAAATTATAACAAGGCGAATATGCAAGTCAAATCCAATGATTCGAAAATACAGACTTGACATTTAATATGGAATATTTTTTTCGAAATAATTTTTTATCAGTTTTTTCCTATTTTGCTGACTGATAAATGAAAATAAGGATTAAAATCGTGTTTTAATAACTTTAAATTATCTCTTTGATGTCATTGTGACATCAGTTCATTAATGGAATTCGCCAGAGAAGCAAACAAAAACACGTTGCCTATTCCATGTCATACGACTCCCATTAAAAGAGATATTTTAGATCTCCATATTTTCCAAATTATCGTCTGTAAAAAGGGTAATACGCTCCACAAAAGACCCTCATGTCAGTTGCTAGTCACAGTAATGGTCGTTGTTACGCCTGGCCTCTTCGTGGCTGTTGCCAGCGCTCTCAAGCGGCAAGGCATTTCTTGGGGGTAGGTTTTAAGAGGTCAATCTGGAATAGCATTCCAGGCATCGGTCTAAAATTGTCCAATCTGGTCCAGTTTTGTTGTAGGACATGTAGGCAGTTGATTGGTGAGTAATGGTCTACCGAAATATTGTCTATGTGGTTCAAATGTGGCGATTTTGATGACCAGGGTAGCTGCTCATTCCCTTGGTTCTGTAAGTTATCTGCTATTAAAAGTGCTCTGTGTGAACCTGCAACCTCATCGTGCAACCTAGAATTGTTCCTAAGGTGCCCCCTATCAAATGATAGTCAAGTGGTTCCGAGATTATTCCTTTATTTGATCTGGTTCAGGTTTTCGTCGATGACTACCGTTGGTGTTTTGGCACCAATGTGGAATCTACTCCAAATACTGACGCTGTCAATCACCCTTGTCACTTTAGACCCGGCATATGCTTCGTCGTAGGCCTCTTCTGGATATCTGTAAACTCTGTTTTGACTAATTGGGCGGTACAGGTGAAATCTGACCTCAATAAAGAAAACCACGCAGTTTCAGTGTTCTACCCAGAATCGTTCATGGCCCCCAATTCATTAGAGAAACAGACGACGATGTTTTGCTGTATACAGTGGGTACCTCGGAGGTCATTTGGTGTTCTTACCTGCTAAAACCAGTTTAGTGTTCGCTAAGGGCTTTGAAAAATGCATTTTAGTGGCAATTTACCCCTCGTTCTGAACGGACTAAGTGTTTTTTGTTGAGTTGCAGCAGCGTATACCGAAAGACAGTGGGTCCTGTACCCTGTAGGTAAAATTTTGATACATTGGGGGTCACCTCTGTGCAGGTACATCAGTCTGGGCATTACTCTATAAAACTGTGGGGGCCGTTCCGTTTGGCGCTATGATCTGTCTGGTTATGTTTGTCTTTTTCGCGCCATTCTGCCTTAGATTAACAAATTTGTAATGCACTACTTGGCTCATTTTACGCACTGCAAAACTGACCGCTTGCATGCAAAATTTCAAATTCTTCTATGCAGTAGTTGCCGAAATATGGATATTTTTTTGACAGAACCAAGCTTTGCCTAAGCCAAGCTTTGATCAGCCCAAAGGAACACTACCCAATTAAATCACTGCAAATTACATAATGTAGCAGCGCAACAGGCATGAAAGTCAGTTAATTGGTAGTGACACACCTGATTGCACACTTTTACATTCACAAATCTTATATGAGATCGGAGTTTTTTGAAAAAAAGAACGTATTTTTACCTAGGTATACCTTCGAAACTGAAATATTCCATATTAAATGTCAAGTCTGTACATCCAAGAATATCAGAAAATGGAAAGTCCTCCATGTACAAAGTCCTCTTTTCTATAGGTCAGTAATGTTTAAATGAGTTACAACAAAAATAGTCCAAGTAATTACAAAAGACAAAACATCCTTGTTCTGTACTGCAGTTGGTGAAAATTTCTTTTAATCAAACAGCATGCGGATTTGAGGCGGACATTACCTTCGTAATTGACGCCTCTGGCAGCGTGCAGGCAGCCAACTTTGAGAAGATGAAGGATTTCATAAAGCAGGTGGCCAGTGAATGGGAAGTAGGACCACAACACGTGCGGATCGGCGTAGTCAAATTCTCCAGTAACGCTATCCAGGAGTTCCACATGGACAGATACAACACGGAGACCGATGTCGTCAACGCCGTCTCGAAGATCTCTTACACCAAGGGCGGAACCAACACCGCTCTTGCCCTGAAGCTTGCCCGCGAGCAGAGCTTTGCCACCGCTCACGTTCGCCCTGGTGTTCCCCACATCGCCATAGTAATGACAGATGGACGCAGTGGCAATGCAGCAGCGACAGCCAATGAGGCCAAGGCTCTTATTAAGGCCGGGGTGACTGTGTTCGCGATTGGTATTGGTCCGAATATTCAAACGTCAGAGTTGAATGCCATCGCCAGTGATCCGGACAGTGACTACGTCATCAAGGTGGCCGGATTTGACGGACTTCAGGCTCTGCAGGTGCAGCTTGCGGCTAAAGCCTGCGCAGGTAACACATTATGAAAATCATCCTAGGCCTGACATTGGTCATTTGGTCTAGCTCTTTTGTACGATATAATTTCAATGTGGCATTATGCATGGGGGCTCATACGTTGTCCTTTACTATCATTTTTATGTTCTAAAGGAAGATTTTGATTGTAATCACAAATATATTTGGTCAGTCATTATCCAGCTTTAAAGTCATAGCAAATTATATCAAAGTGTTTTTTTTTACTTATTGATTAATTATACAACTGCCTTAAAATCAATGTAAACACTTTCACTTAGATAAATTGCTGGTCTGAAGGATGGTTTATACGGTATTTTGGGTTCGTTTCAGTGACCACTACTCCCGCCCCTCCTACCACAACTCAAATCGTGACTGTTCCACCAACCTTTGCCCCAAGTGAGTGCTTTTAATGATATTTTCTTTAATTATTAATAACTTTTCTTGTGAACATATCAAAATTATGAATAGGCCTATATTATTTTCTAATGCATTGCCTTACATATTTAGTTTTGGATAAACATAGATTGATGACGTCGGCATTAAATTCATTGTGCATTAAAGAAGCTTTTGCATCCAATCGTCTTGCATGTCTTCATGCGTGCATGCTTACGATCACACCACAAAGGTATCTAATCTTCCCGCTCTACCAGGTGCTTGTGGAGCCCAGGCCGACATCATCTTCGTTTTGGACTCATCCGGAAGTGTCGGGGCTGCAAACTTCAAGAAACAGCTCGCCTTCGTCCATGACGTTGTTAGCCAGTTTGATATCGCTCCTGACAAGATCAGAGTCGGCGTCCTTCGCTTCCATACCTCAGTCTTTGAGGAGTTCCCTCTTAATAAATACACCGACAAGGCAGCCTTGCTCCGAGCTATAGACGCCATTAAGTACACCCCGGGTGGAACTGAAACACACAAAGCCATCAAGTACTTGCGGGAAAATGCCTTTACTGCAGGTCGGTACTAAAGTTTTTTTTTTAATTAAAAAAACGTTAATGGCACGATCGGATCTGGTGTCATATTTTAATAAATCTGTCATATAGGGAGTGTATTGTCTCATTGTTTAAGCCTTGCATCAATTTCAAAGTAATCATCTGTGGAGCCAACGAAAGTCGCTGATTGGGTTCCAGCTCGGCTTGACTATATTCTACTGCGAGCGACAATAAAGGCCCAGCCGAGAAGGCCATTCATTAGAGGACACGCTGGCTAGGGGGTATGCTAAAAGAGTACGGTGGGAGAATGCTGCCAACCCCACATTATAGCCGTTGAAAACATCAAATAAACAGTATATGAATATGTAGCTAATTAAATAAATCATAGTATACAAATTCGTGAATTATCAAACCGATATTGCTAATTATACCAATATTAACGATTCATTTTGTGAATTTCCAGCCAAGGGGAAACCGACCTTATGTGGTTGACATTGGTGTTATAATGACCGAAGGAATTAATTAACTTGCAGTATTCAATTTCGTGAATGCACGCACTTGGTTATACCGATAGGTCTTATCATCCAAATATAACTGATTTATCTTCAGCCAAGGGAGACCGCCCTAATGTGGTCAACATTGGTGTTGTGATGACCGATGGTCAGTCCTACAGACCCGCAACCACCGCCTCGGAGTCCGCCGCCGCCAGGGCTGCCAAGATCACTATGATGGCGGTTGGTATAGGCAGCGGTGTGAGACAGTCAGAACTGAACGCTATTGCGTCCGACCCGGACAGCCAGCACGCGTTCTCCGTGCAGAACTTTGACGCCCTGAAGAATATGGGGAATTTGTTCACCCAGAAGACGTGCGCTGGTAAATGTTTATTGTAAAGAAGCATTAGCTGTGTAATAACTGATTTTATGACACTTTACAGCAAGGCAGCTTTTGTTTTTATATGGAATGAAATAATTACAAATATTTGTTATTCAAAATAAGTGCTGCTTGCCAACAGTTAGTTACACCGAAGACTGAGGCAATTGTCAATAACTGCATGTTTTAAAAACTATATTGTATTTTTAATTTGCAGTAAATCAACATCATTTTGATGTTATTTTTTCAGTTGCCCCCACCGCGGTTGCTGTGACGCCAACAACCCCCTCAAGTAAGTAATTTAAACACATCGTGGTTTTGTAGGAACACTGCAGCCTGTCAGTTGCAATAAGCTTGCTTCATAGTTTGCATTAATTGTAATGAGCAACGTTTTCCATATAATACTAATTGCAAAATATCTGCTTACGTTAGCAAGAATAGACTCCAAGAACATTCATAAGTTACTGAGAATGAAACAAATTATCGAATCATTACAGATTGTGGTAGCCTTGCAGACATCGTATTTGTTCTCGATTCCTCGGGCAGTGTCGGGGCCGCGAACTTCGAGAAGGTCAAGGACTTTGTCAAGGACATTGTCAACGATCTTGACATTGGCGCCAACAGCGTGCGTGTTGGCGTTGTCAAATTCCACAGTCGTCCATACAGCGAGTTCCATCTGAATAAGTACTACGACAAGAAAGCCCTGGCGAACGCAGTGGACGGTATTAAGTATACCCGAGGCGGCACCATCACCTCTGAGGGTATAAAGATGATGACAGACTTGGCTTTCAAGCCCGCCAACGGAGATAGACCAAATGTTCAGAATATTGGAATAGGTGAGAGCTGATAAAGAGTTAAAATATGTCATATAAAATATTGGTTCCCTTTAAAGCATTAAATTTCCATTGAAAAATAGCAAAATGGTATTTTTATGTACCCCTTCTCCTATTATATTCTCCAAGCGCTCACCGCCGGACGCAAGTTCAAAAGTTTCAGGGGCAGATCATATTACATGCGTTGATATTTTATCAACTTTCAGTCATTACCGACGGAAAATCCAACAACGGGCGTAAGTTCTCCAAAGATGCTGCTGACGCTGCAAGAAAGGCTGGAATAGAGGTGTTTGCTATCGGTGTTGGAAGCGGCGTCGACCAGAACGAGTTAAAGGATATTGGTAACGATCCTGACAAGGATTACGTGTTCACTGTTGGCAACTTCGATGCTTTGAAATCCATTAAGAGCCAGCTTACGGTACAGACTTGCAAAGGTAGGGACTATAAAATCATCTGTTTAATGCTGATATTCCTCTTTCAATTATAGTAAACTTCACGTTTTCGCAAACCTCATATCTTACTTCTTTTGGTGTAATGAATGGCAGTCGTCCTGCAAACAAATTATTTAAAGAGAAAAAAAATGCTTGTCAGTGTATGCATTTTAAATGCTTAATGTGGATGTTTTCTATGTTTCTTTTGCAGTAATTCCTACTGGAACGATAGTGCCACCTACAGGTTTGTAAAGTAAAAGTATAGACACACTGTATTTGTTTCCATAGTGCAGGGTTGTGCTAATAATTTTTTGTTGTTTTTTTCCTAATTATATATGATATGAATACGGTGTATAATGACACGGTGCTTCATACAGAACACAATATACAGTTATCCGAATTTCATTTTGCGCTTTACGTTTTAAATAATGAGTAATTGTGAGCGTTATGCAAACATTGGCTGAGTTCTAGTTGAATGAAGCTTGTAAAACTATCCGTGTGCCATTTAGTTAACGCCTTTGCTTTGAGCATAGAGAGAGAAACTGTACATCGATTGTGCATGTTTTTGCGGCCTTTGGTAAAATTTCATGTAAATGGACAATACACATGATATTCCCAGAGAAATTGAATCGTAACAGTTCGAATTTTTATACCATTATGCTGTTTATCTCGTCTGATAGTTCCAACCGCAGGACCGGATCCTTGCAGAGATGTCATAGACTGCGAGTCGTACGGTAAATCCATGTGCACCAACTACCCAGAATTCGCCAATGGCAACTGCCAGAGATACTGCGGCATATGCACACGTGAGTGGGAAAAATCAGGACGATGATTGAATGTGCACAAAATAATTAATATAAGCAAATATGTGATTAAGGACAAATCATAAAGTATAAAATAGCTTGGGTTTTAATCACAAGTTACCTTCTTGAAATGCTGAGACATCCACGTCTATGGATATGTCACATTTGATTTACTGTGTGTATGATTCAAATGATATTAACAGCGCAAGTGACCGTCACCCCCGCCCCAGAGGTGTGCAAGGACACTCAGGACTGCCGAGGCTACAACATCGACGACTGTAAAACGTACGAGGGCTTCATGAAGACCAACTGCAAGAGCTTCTGTGGTTTCTGCTGTAAGTGTTTTTTGATATTTAATTTAATTGTATGTTGTATCTTTTATATACATTTGACAGGATCTCTTGGTTAGACTAATAGTCACCCGAAACTGTTGAACAGTTTTCCGTTAATTTAGCTGATGCCCCATTTATTGTGTCAGTAAGAGCAACAATTTCGGGTGTGCCCATTCTGAGTTTAAATAATTATTGCAAATTAAATTAGAAAAACAGTGGAATAAGATTCTAATGTATAATAAGGACAGTATTTCATTTCAGTATTTCATATTGATATAAAAAAAGCATCCATGTGATTATAACCAAGTGTAAGATTTATCATTCCTCTCATTTCAGCCACCAATACGATCACGGGCGGCTATTGTAAGTACTGCATTTCATGAATAATAATTATTATACTTATTTCTTGTTACTTAAACAGGTGAATTGTACAGTTTAAATGTGAAACAATAGAAAGGAGAGGAAGTATGTAATAAATTATAGGAAAAACATTTAAATGAAAATTGGAGTTGAAGCCATGGGACATTCAAAATGCATTGCGACTTCAAAAGATTTCGTAAAAAAGCATTAGATTCGGCCTTTTTCCTAAAATAATGTTTTTTTCTTAAGTCGGCAAGTGTTTCTACAAGGGCCAGACGTACAGCCAAGGAGACAAGTGGTCTGATGGTTGTGAATACGAGTGTGAATGTATAGACGGCGCAGGCGCAAAGTACCAGTGCTACAACAAGTATGACAAACAAAGCATATATCATTCAGGAATATTTCTTGACCGCAATAAATGAATATTTAGAAAGTTTTTATATTTTATATAATGATGCGTATTCCCCCACTAACATTAACTAATATGGGCATTTTCTTAACCCCTGAAAAGTATATAAAACGAGATTCTGAACATATTTTAATTTGCGATATTGTTGGCATTTATTGTTTCATGTATGACAGGACAATATACAGAAGAAAAAATAACTTCATTCTGATTTTAATGGCGTTGTGTGGGTAAATGACATTATTTAAATTCCCCGTAAATGCCATCCAGCAGGTTCCAACACATTCAAACTACCCATCCCTCCTCTCCAGATGTCCTATCTACTCCAACCTGCCGTCCCAGTGTACACTGACCCGAGTACCTGGCCAGTGCTGTATGCAGCCTGTGTGTAACTGGGGAACCACCTTTGGGACGTTCACTGGGACCGGAGTCGGCACCCTGAACGGAATAGGTGAGTTATAGTTACGTTCCAAATACTTGTGTATGTGTACAGTTTAACTTGTAGTCCTTACACCACTCTGAGTTTCAGGGTTGTTAGGAGTCCTCGCACCCCGACTTTTAGATTTTCATAGGTCTTCATTTCCATCAGCATGTATTTTTCTTCGTTCAGTAACTTACTGGCAGGGCTATGTTGATAGTAGAAGGTCGAGTTTCCAGTAATTTCTACAAGTCGGAGCGAGTGCCTGTCTCAAAGTGCTTGTCTCAAAGGGACCTTTGTCGGTAATTGAGAATATCTAAAAAACGAACAGCAAATAATGGATTTTGGAAATCGGCAACCGTAGGCCTACTTTAATCGGGGATTTTTTTTTTGTTTTGTTTTGTTTTGTTTTGTTCTTTGTTCTTGACTTCTGCGTCTACAAAAATGTATTATTTCGATTAGGGGATATGTGTTTATTCATTTGTACTGCCTAATACATTACGATAGCCACAATAATTAAATGAAAGAAGAAAAAGAATGGAGGGGGCACCCGGATTTGAACCGGGGACCTCTCGATCTGCAGTCGAATGCTCTACCACTGAGCTATACCCCCGCTTGTTATTGTTACTATTCACGTCATTTATCCTTGGCCTGGTATGTTACAGCTTCTCAGGTTAATAATAAGGCTATCCCATTTGAATACATAAACCGCAGTCAGAATTATAATAGCCCTCACTACAAATGTATAACGATAACATCTACCTATCAGTGCTAATGTGATGCACATCCTAAAACCTCTTCAGTCTAGATTTTTGATAAACTCATTAGTACTGGTTAGGTTTACATGAGCGCTATTAAACTTTTTTCCTTTTTACGTTAAAGCGAATTACTGAAATATCTAATTTCTCCATATTACGTAATCGTCAGCACGTGAGGCGCGACCGGACTTTCACCGAAGACATATTTATAATTTTTTTATTCTATGTTCCAGACGTGTGCGTCTACAAAGGCACGAAGTACTACCAAGGCAAGCTGTGGCAGGACGGCTGTGACTCTCAGTGTCAGTGCATTGACGCCAAGACAGGGTACTACGAGTGCCAAGATTTGTGAGTTATCAACATTCTTATTTATTTATTTATTTATTTATATAATATATCAAACAATTAAGTGTGTTATGCCAGTTGATATAATCGTGACAATATCTTTGCTACTCGTAGTACCATTGTGCTGAATATTCCACCATTGCCTCTCCCTTTTCATCTTTATTCCTTTTTCATTGTTTCATTTCATACTCCTTGACGATATATCTTTCTCTTTGCCATCTTGCTCATAAGAACAGAATGAATTCCATCTCCCATTTTCAATTCCACCGCCACTAAAAATACCCATATTAAACAAGATGGGTGTGCTCATTGGGCATAATAAGAATATATAATAATGTAAATATCAAGCACTTGTTATGAAGTTCCAAAGTATGATATTTCTACCTACAGGTGCCCGACCTACACCAACCTTCCATCCCAGTGTAAGATGGAGGCTGTTCCCGGGCAGTGCTGTGCTGAACCCCGCTGTAACTGGCAGACCAACTACGGGTCCTTCACCGGTATCGGCGCTGTTACCGGGACATCAGCAGGTAAATGTCCTGGGGCCTGTGTCACAAAAGGACATTAGCTGGAAATGGAATATTTTTTTACTAAAGCTAGGCATTGTTTTTATTGTTATTTGTGTTTTTTAATGCCACAATGATTTTATAGACTATTGCTGGCTTTGTTTGTCAAAATAGAAATTTTGTTCTAAAGTTATTTTGTCAGGTAAGTCTCTGCTTACACTTAACAAGGTTTTTGAAAAGTTTTGACCCTGACTCAAGAAGTATAGGGAGTGGTTTTCCATACTTGGTACTGAATTTAGAACAACCAACGCTTTTCTTGTTCTCACATATTTAAAATATAGTTTTATTTCAACATTTTCACCAGTATCTGTTAAAATAAAAGTATGGTAAATGGCTTATTTGGAATTGTATAAATAACACCGAACTTTCACAAATAAATGCACAGTTATGAACATTTAATCATATTTCCTCCAGGTCAAGTCCCCACCACTCCCCCACCATGTGTTGATAAAATCCCTAACTGTAACGAGTTCGCCATCCCGTGGGCATGTGGAGAGTACAAGAGCTGGGCGGAGAACTCCTGTAGGAAGTCGTGTAATCTCTGTAGTAAGTTCACTCTCTCTTTCCCTCTCTCTCTTACACAGACACACACAAACCGTGTGGTTCACAATACTTAATTACCAAAATGCGTTTTGTTATTTAAATTATGTGATTTATTAACGCACTTTTATCAAAACACTTTTTGAAGACACTCTTTCAAAATGTTTAGATAGAATTGTGAGAAGTAATGGTGTTGATTTACATTATTACTAATTATTTCCCTCTTTATTTCCAGCCGGCACAGCTACACCAGGACCTGACGGTAAGGACATTTATCTTAGTTTTGATTTAAAGATGATTTTATATGCATATATGAATTGAAATTTTTGATAGTTCAGATCAGGTTCAATCGCCTTTGAACATCCATGTGTTGCTCAACATTAATGAAAAATAAAAGAAGCGGTACTCCAAACGCGTATCAGAGAAGTTATCATATTATGGAGTTGCCTTTAACAAAAACAATTTTAATGACACTTCGCATCAGGAAATATACTTATAATTTAATAAATGATTTTGATATTATTTTCAATTTACTGTAAATAATCACGATGTCTGTACTCTAATTTTCAGACTTCTGCCTGTACAAGGGACAGAAGTACCAGCATGGCGCCAGCTGGAATGACGGCTGTGACACCAAATGTACCTGTGAGAATGCCGTGGTTGGGTTTTACAGATGCGAAAACCTGTACGTATATGAACTTTTATTTTAATTTCAAGAAATAATAGTCCAGTCTATCAAGATGACTGGAGAGAATGTCGAGCAGCCCGTCCTTAACCCGCCCTTCATAAAAAATGTTATTCGTTAAGATAAACAACCCAGCCTCGTTCCATCAAATGAACCAACTTAAATTGTAACATAAAAATACATAGATAGTTTAACCTATTTAAGTCTTATTATCTACCCCAGTCTCAAATAAAATGTTAACTAAAATCAAGTTTAATCTTAACGATAACTACATGTATCTGTTGTTTTGAATACACCAAGGCAAAAAGATCTTTACTACTATAATTTAGGGAACAGCGGCCATTTTCTATAGTTTTTCCAACATGTTCTGATAATTTGTATTTTCTGTTGGCCAGGTGCCCGTCTTACCCGGTCCTCCCTGCCGGTTGCCAGCTGACTACTGTGCCCAACGAGTGCTGTCAGCAGGTCCGCTGTAGTAACGGAAACTTCATTGGTTCCAACACCGGCAACGGTGTCTTTACTGGTACAGGCGTGGTACAACCTGGTACGGGTGGTACTGGAACTGGTGGTACTGGTACAGCCAACAAACTGAGTAAGTGTGTGGTATAAGAAGAATCACTGTTTAGGCCACACTTTTTTAATTTTATGGATGACATCCTGCGCGCGCACCGATTTTCGTCCGTTCTCAAAAAAAAAAAAAAAAAAATCCCCCCCCCCCCAAGGCAGTCGGTTGTCGCAAACGTC